GAGGAAGAGTTACTGGTGATACCTGCTGAATTGATATAGACTTTGGTGTATTTGAATTACTTAAATGTATAATTTTTTATTAATGTGGAGGAGATGGATTGTTTATAAATAGAGTTTGTGGAGTTAGAGATATTAATATTTGTTTACCTATATTTGAATATTAGCCTGGGATTTGGTTTGGGAAGTCCGGGGGGGTGGGGGGGGGGTAGGGTTTATACATTGTGATCTATTTGTGATGTGCTTTTTTTTATGATGAAAATAATAAAAATTTATATTTGAAAAAAAAAAAGAAAATAAGAAAAAAAAACATAAGGAGTATAGGAATAAAAATAACTTGCAACTAGAAGCAGACAGGAGGAGCTACTAAACATGCAAATAGAAGGTAAGGATTTGAGAATAAAAAAAGAGGAACTAAGACTACAGCCTACTCACCAAGGAAACAGACCAAAATATACGTAGGAAGTGACTGTTGCTAAGGTCACAGGTATTATGGATGATTTGGGATATTTCCTATAATGAGATTTGTTTTGCCTTAAAGAAGCCAAGCAATGAAATGAATCTAGCCTGAATCTGAAGTTCTGTCAAAGTTCTGAAGTAATTGGATTCATTTTCAATAACCCAATTCCCAGGCTTAGCCACCATAGCAAAATTAAAGAAAGCACTCAAATATCTATTTAACTTACTAATTTGCAAAACAGTAGTTGTGGTGTAGTCTGTGGCATAAACTTATAGCATAGGTTTTGTGAATAGATGTCCATTTCATCAGAGGAATGAAGGTCTATCCCCAGCTGTCATATACATACACACATGGAAGAGGAATTACAAGCATAAAGTCAGAAGAAAATGTAGTATAAACAGAACAGACAATGACCATTCCTATATAAAATATCTAAAAATATGCAGATCGGATTATTTTTAAGATTTTGGTTGCAACAGTGGTAGCCTTATACAATACCATTAGATTATACAGTCCATACTACAGGATCACTTATTTGAAACTATGTAAACAAATAGCAATAACACTTATATACTGCTTCATAGTACTTTACAGCCCTTTCTAAGCTGAAAAGAGTCAACATATTGCCCCCAACAATCTGGCTCCTTATTTTATTGACCTCGGAAGGATGGAAGGTTGAGTCAACCTTGAGCTGGTGAGAATCAAACTCCTGACAGTGAATTTAGTTGAGTACATTTGTTTAGTAAAATGTTATGTAAAATATGTGATCTCTTTTAATTCTGCTTATTTCCAGTCAAAGTGTACAAAACACTGATTTAACACGAGAACTCAGCATAATACATAGAATTGCTAACATTTTATCCAGGGCTGGCATTAGGTCAAGATTGAGTAGGCACTGGGGATCTTTCTGTTCCTCAATACTTCTAGCCCTTCACTGGATCCTAAATCCAAAATACAGTTAAACCAATTCCAGAGCTGATCCAAAGGAGTTCCCACTCATTGGACATAGTAGGAAAAATTTATTGTTTGTTTGTTTTTAAGAAAAATGACAAGGAAATGCAAATATCTCTTTTGGCTTCATATAGACTGTGCCGGCCAGTAGCCAGCAAGACACTGGAGACTTCTTAGTGACCTGATATCACAAAAATTATGTTTCAAATGTAGGATTATGTTGTAAATCTCTGGATTTTAGTGCTCGTCTGTGTCACATTTGACTGCCCGTTAATATTCCTAGTGGCAAGCTGTATACTGGAGTCTCAGGGAGAATCCAGATTTGGGCATGAATGGTTTGTAGTTGACCGTCACCCTTGATGATCATCATGATTTCTTTCCCTGATATAGTAGTCCCTCATCACTGCTGATGTTCACATTTTTAGCAAATGCCAGACTTTTTTTTTTGGTGCATTGCTTAATCCACAATAGGGAGCAACATAAGTTCCTCTTTTTCAACCCTTGTGTCTAGTAAAGCAAACTATTTGTCTGGTACAAGTCTCTGTTTTCTGTTTTAATCAGCACCTCTTGATTTTCCAGGGAAACATGAACAAGCTTTTGTATCTCATCTTCCTGGTCTTCTTGTCAGGTAGGAAATTGCCTTTCGGTATTAGTTGGAAATGTGGTTAGCTGGCTATACATTATTGTTCAATTCATTGTATGAATGAGTCCAGTAAATACTGGAAGGGCTTTCTGCTCATGATACTTTTTAAACAGTTTTTTTTTAATTATTATATTATGTCTCAACTCAGTAAGCATTATACTAAGTGATTAACAAGTTCCTCCAGCTGGGCAGACTTAATATTTTTATAATTTTGAATATAAGTGATGAAGTTATGGAAAGATGATTAAGATGTGAGTCATGTAAGGGCAGAATAGAAGGAATCACTTTCAATGCTTTTTCTCTACATATTAGTATTAAATTGAAAACTTATTTTGCCATCAGATTTCATGGACCACAGAAGACTCGGTCAGATGCATAGAATATTGTTAGGAGAAAGAAGAATATTCAAAAGGAGGGCAAAAGGGAGGGATTAGTAAAAGGGGAGATCAGAAAGAAATTCAGGGTAGTGATTGTTGACTGTGTAAAAAACTTGAACACATTACTGTTCTAGATGTATGGATCTATATGAGACTGTGAATGATGTGATTCAAGAATTGCAGGCTAATTGCCCCTCTGGACAAAAATAGAAGATTGGAACCAAACTATGCTATCTTTCTTTTTCAAGAAGTGTATACAGATGAGAAAATTACAGAGGTTTCCGGTGTTGAAGGGGAACCCATTTCCATCAATTGCTCCTATAGTCCTCAGAAGAACCAGTGGAGAGAGAAAAGTTGGTGTAAGCACATCAGTGAGGCAACGTGCCAGCATGTTGTCAGTGCCCGACGTTTTTGGCTGCCCTTCCTCAAGAGAAGAAATGGCACCACTGCCATTGCTGACAATATCCAGGAAGGGTTGCTCATGGTAACCATCAACCCACTCCAGAAACAGGATGCTGGTTGGTATCAATGTATGACACACTTCTTGGGGACTGTGACAACCTTGCAGAAGGTCAAGGTGAATGTTCTGACAGGTAAGTCTTTAGTCCTAAACCTGTTCTGTCCAATCATCAAATAATTGGATTTGTGGTTATAAAACTCTGATTTCAATTAAAATTTAAACTGTTATGCCAGAGGTGGCATGGCTGGCTCAGGAATTCTGGGAGTTGAAGTCCACAAGTTATAAAAGGGCCATAGTTCCCCACACGTGTGTTATGCAAAGATAGGAAAGAAAAGAGAAAGAAAAAACTAGAGTGTCTGGTAGAAGAATGGAGTGGGAATTTTGTGAGTCTTTGTGTATATTTCAGGATGGAGAAGTAGAGTCAAAGGGGAAGCCCTGTGCCCAAGAAAATGGAGGTGGGAGGCATGGGGAATTTCTTCTTTAGCACATCTTCCCTTTCAGTTGAACTGTACCCACTATTTAGAACAATGAATCTTGTTCGATGATCTGTTTATTATATTTATTCTTACTGACTTAAATATGCATTGCTGCATTTTGCCACCAGATATAGATGTACAAGAGACACTCAGAATCCTTCACAGCATCTCCGGGTAAGACTATATGTTCTTTTTTTTTTTCATTCGGCACTAGAGTGTGCAATTCAACATTAATAGGCTTGGATTAGAGAAAGGAGGGATTTAACTAAATATTAGAAAGAATTTCACAGTGGTCTGATTTGCATTACAGTAGATCAGAGTGACACAGAAAGTGAGGCTCTTGCTTTGTTATAGGTTTTGAAGCAGAGGCTGGATGGTGCCTTTTGCTTCAGTCTCTTTTTTGAAGCTATTTTTTCCCCAGTGGGAATTAGTTCCTGCTGTGAAGCCCTATCTGCAAGAAAGAGAGCTTTTAAAAATATTGTGATATATATGCAGTGAGCATGGGACAATTTGGGTTTTTTCCCCCACTGCTCCACATTGTTGGAAATTGTCACAGGAATTTCGGCAAGAAAGAAATGGCAGGTAGCAGTCATGACCATTCAGTCAAAGCCCCTTTTTATTTAAGTTGTGCATACCACACCCACCCACGTTAAAAGGAATGTGGCTTTGATTGCACAGAGACTGCTATCGTATTTTTTTACTCTCTCTGAGACCAAACCTGACTGGGAGGAATTCAATCATAACTTTCTGATCTGATGACATCCTGTCTCATCTGGTCCTCAGGCTGTATGTTTCCAACCCATAAAGGTAGATTTTCAACCATTTGAAAATCCAAACTCTGGACAAGGAAGGATTCTTTTTTAATTTCAGCCAGAAATAATATTAAACAAAGAAAAATTGATAGGGCAGACTTTGGTACACATCACAGTCAAGGAAGAAGAAAGTGCCTCATAACTCTAAACCTGTGTTTCTCAGCCTTGACAACTTTAAGATGTGTGGACTTCAACTCCCAGAATTCCCCAGCCATATTGAGGATAAACCTAAAAATAATAGAAGTGCACATCTCCAAAGTACAAATGATAGCGCATTCTCTAGCTTTGAGTATTCTTAGCATTAACTGCATGCATATTCTGAAATATATAGGACAGGGCAGGAACATCTGCAGAAGGATCAAAAAAAGGGTAAGGCAGTAAAGTAGTTCAGATTACATGATCAGAGAGTTGCTCCATTTTTACACGCAATAAGGGATGAGGCTTCAATTATATGGTCACAGCTGCCCTTTTAATTTTGTTGACACCCAGCCTCAGAGATGCCCTGCAGAGAATGAGAAGTTATCATTGAGGGAATTTATAAGTAATCTCACCTTTGATAGAGCAGCAATCTCCACTCAACTGAGCTTCATAATTCTGAATATAAGCCAGAACTGTTTGGTCAAGTGGGACAAACATTATACTGTACAGTTTAGATTTGTGGAGTTATCTTACTGTATGGGGAGTGTAAAGGCTAAATTGAAAACCAGGTTCTCCTGCACATTCACAACCCATCCCAACCCCTATTGCCAATTTCTGCATGTCTGATTAACGTGGAACCAGAAATTTCAGAGAAAGAAAAAAAAATGTTGGAGAACTATTATTACTCATATTAATATTTTAAATATATAAACAGCCCAATTTCAAAATAATCCGGGCAAATAGAAATAAAAATGTTAAAAACAAGAAAAAGCTGCAATGTAGACAAAAACGAGGAGTGAAGATGGCAAAGGTGGCAAAAAACAGTTGGGAATGCAAAATAACAAGCCCACATAGTCCACTCCCTCATGCCAATAACTGTTACTACCAGATTTCCTAGAAAGCACTGCTTAAAGTTAGTGAAAAATGTTCTGAGTTCAGTAACATCTGATGTTGTCTTTTTTGATCAGCAAGGATTCGCTGGGACTTCCATTTCTGACTTTTAACTGGATAACTTAGAAATTGAACCCTAGGATTTCTTCTTGGATAGCAAGTGCTCTGTGACTGAGCACTTCATCAAACAATACCCAAAGTCCCCCTTTTAAAATAAACATTTTCATTCCACATTACCTAATTCATATATATTTTATTTGTGTTTTCTCAAAGCTCTTCTTCAAATGCTGGAATTAATCTCACTTTCCTGGCAGCTGGCTTTCTTGGTTTCAAACTACTGGTTGCTATTATTATCCTAATTGTTGCCAGAAGCAAGAAGAGGACTACTGGGAATGAGAGCAGAGGAGAAAACCAGCATTTTCACCTCCCAATCGTCACAGGTGATAGCATAAGGACATAAAAAGTGTCCTATGGGATTAAACCAAACCTGATCTAGCCTAACAGGCAACCATAGGCTTTTAGAAATCCCACAGGCAATACAGGAAACCAATAACATTTTCCTACTGTCATCTATCTCTGATTTAGGCAATGCATGGCACTCATCACTCACTGATACCCTTAATTTCTTCTAAATTTGCCTAATAACCATGAAAGCCATCTTGTGGTATGAGTTCCATCACCTACATCTATGCAATGTGAAGTAGTACTTCTGAATAGGAGAAATTGAAAGCCGGTTATAGCAAACAAGATACCTTATGTAGAAAAATAAATGAGTATGGATAGCTGTATATGCTTCCACATCACAATATATTCATTTTATATGCAAGGCTGAAAATTATGAGAGAAGAAGTGCCCAAATAGGCATTTGATGCTTGCAAAACAGAGGTTTCTTGAGTTCCACTGCCAAGAAGTGCTACCTAGTGATCCTATAGAGCAGAGGTCCCCAACCTTTTGAGTACCAGGGACCGGTTCCATGGAGAAAAGTTGTTCCATGGACTGGAGAGTGTGTAGTTTTGTGTGCTGCCTACATCGCATGGATGGGGCTTTGCTTGTTTGTGCAAACCAGTTGCTGGCATGCCGCGGCCCGGTACCGGTCCACAGACCGGGGGGTTGGGGACCCCTGCTGTAGAGTTGAACAATTTTCATATTTCCAGTAACATTCTAGAATTCTAGAGCCCATTTTCAGTTACTCTAGAAACGTGATCACCCTGGAAAGAATAAAAGATCTCACAGTTTTGCAAAGGACTGTCTCTACTGTAACTCCTTGACTGAGCATTTACTTTGCTTGTGTTTTGAAGCCAGCTCCAACTCAAATTTACTGTTTCTTCTAGGTACCTCAGAAGTTTTCAGAAATAGAGAACTTACTGGCTCCTATTGTCATCTTAATTATTACCAGAAGCAAGAAGAACTGAACAGACCTTGAGAACTTGTTTCAGAAGCTCTTGCCATTCTAGATGAAATTTCTGTGCCATTTTTAATGCAGACACTGAAGCAATGAGTCAGGACTTTAAACCATGCATCCAACTGCAGGTCACGAGTTCTTCAAATGACTCATTGGCCGGTGTTGCTTTTGGATTCTGAATTTTTACAATATTACTTTTTTCAATCTTTTTTCTAAATCTCTGTGGTAAAATTAAAACTATTGTTTTAAAAGCAGTTTCAGTATACTAACATATTTTTGCTGTGTTTTTTTTTAAATAACTCCTATAAGCCATTGGCTTTATGTGTCCCTCTGCTCATTTCATTTTATTACTCTCCTGCCTGTTCCTGTTTCCAATGTAACAGGAAAGAACCAGCATGAGTGAATTTGATAGAAGGAGAAGAAGTAAAAATTCATAGATCCATCCCCAAGGGTGAAGTCCAAAGGGTGAAGTCCAAAGGCAGGATGAGAAAGAGTCCAAATCAGGTGCTTGGAGTCCCCCTTAATCACACCATATCTTGATGAGCAAACTGCACATGTAAAAATAAATATAGCCTTTCTCTTTCTCTCCACTCTTACTCTCATAACAAAGGATGGCATAGAAAAATAAGAGGTTGCAACAGAATGTACATATCACAAGAATTCAGTACAAAAAAAATAAAAATGGAATTTCCAATTCTGGTCTCTGAATCGTTTTTTTTCTGAGTATATAGAGCAAACTGTCTTCAACCCAGAAGCAGTAATAATTAAATTAAGAATATGTTTCTTACAGGGTGTCACAAGAATTATAATTGCTTCAGTAACAAAAAGTCATCGCTTGGGCAGACAAAGAATCAAAATAGCACTACTTTTCTGTTTTTTTAAAAAATGGTCCCCCAAAGTAAATTCTTTTTTTGTCAGAGAGAGAAAGAGGGAGGGAGGGAGGGAAAGAAGGAGGGAGGGAGGGAGGGAGGGAGAGAGAGAGAGAGAGAGAGAGAGAGAGAGAGAGAGAGAGAGAGAGAGAGAGAGAGAGAGAGAGAGAGAGAG